TTCCTCTCCAGGGTTGGGATTACAAGCCTGTGTCCACAATCAGCTTTCTATGTGGGTTCTGGGGGATCAAACTCAGGTTCTCATACTTGCACAGCAAGTCCTTAGTGACTGAGCCACCTTCCCAGCCCACTTTTGCTACATTCCACACTGTATCTCCCCTTATGCACAGTTTCAGTTACCTGAAGACAACCTTGATCCAAAAATATCCAAAAAATTCTAGAGATTTAACCTGTACACTGTTCTTAGAATGAGAAGTTGCCCATCATCCCACACCACCCTGCTCCACGCTACCTGGGATATGAATGATCCCTTGACAAGACACTGCTTGTCTGCAGGGCTAGCAGAGGAAGCACACAACCAGGCTGTCATATGTGCTGTCCCTTGTCAGCTGGATCAAAACATGGGGCTCCCATTTCCAGGAGTAAGAGGTCCACAGGTGTGTGGGCATTTCATCCTCACCTAAAGTATACACACTATGCATCAACTGGTGATTTGACAACTGTTTTGTTATCAGTTGTATCCACACTATACACTATACCAGCTAGTCACTTAGTAACTGTTCTGGTCATCAGATGGATTATAGTGGTATGATCTTGCTTGTGTGCACAGGGCCCTTCTTTTACCTAACAAAAAGCCCCAAAGGGCAAGAGTAGCAACCCTGGCAATTCAGACATGCTGAAGTTGTACAGTGTTTTCTTCAAGTTAAAAGCTCCAAGGGGGCTGGGTATTTGCTCCCTGTGTCTTCTTATTGATTTCTCTCCCCAGCATGTGTGGGAAGCATTCTTGGCTATGCTTAAGCAGGCAGCTGGCCGAGTTAGAGACAGCATCCACTGCCCTAGGCCTATTGGAAGCTAACTGGGGCAGGGAGGAGATCCGCAGGACTGCTGACAGTCTTCCACAATGGGTATTTTGAGAAGTGTGACAACTCAGATAGATGGAGTCTATGCTGGGAAACACAGATCTTGTTGCTGTTGACTTTAAGTATTAATCAAAGGACAGGCTTGAATGAGGTGGAGAAAGTTGCATTCATCAGGACTCCTGTCAGTGAGGTGATGACATTTGTTTGGAAGAGGTTCCGTTAAGTCACTTGGAGTGGCATGTGAGTATAGACAGAAGGCAGGATTAATATTTCTGAGACAACTGCGGGGGGTGGCTGGAGCTTTGGGATTAGAGGGCTATATTCCCTTCCACCCACAATGACTATGACTCTACCCTAAGTGTTTAATGGGCACCATCAAGACAAAGACTGTCAGGTGTGGGTCTGGGAAGATGACTCACTGGGTAAAATGCTTGATACACAAGCATGAGAAAGACATGTTTGGACCGCCAGCATTCATGTAAAAGGTCAAGTGAGGCAGCACATGCCTATAATCTCAGTGCTGGGAACCAGAGACAAGAGGATCCCCAAGGCTTGCTGGCTAGCTAGTCTAGCCAATCAGTGAACTCCAGGTTCAGTGAGAGGTGCTGTCTATAAATAAAAAAATAAATAAATGATGGAGAAGCAATTAAGGGAGATACCCTACGTAGACCTCTGACCTTCATACACACAAATGTGCATTTATGTGCATGTGCACGCAAACACATACATAGAAACACAAAGTGTCTTGTGTACATGGATTTCTACAGAAAGCTGAAGGGGCTGTCTTAACGTTCTGGGTTAAGACAGCAATGATCACTAAGAATGCAGAAGTCTTCAGTGCAAAGAGGTACAGGGGAATGGGAAGCCTGGGAATAGTGAAAGCTTTGGGTTTTTCCACGCATAGAATCTGCTGATGTCTAATTGGGTTTTACCTGTTCTCCTTAAGGAGACCACAGATGCAGTGAATGTACCATGGACTGTCAGAGCTCTGTGTACCCAAATAGCACCATCTGCCTTTCTTCCTGAACATGAAAGCTCAGCATTAAGGTAAGGAAAATGAATCGGTGCAGGGTAAGCATATGATCAGAAAGTCGTATGGGATGTCCCTTGCCAACTGGATCAAAACACAGGGCTCCTATGTCCAGGAGCAAGAGCAGCCCACTGGTATGGACATTTCATTCTTGCCTGAATCCATAGAGGGTCAAGGTATTCCAAAAGACCAGCCTCAACAGTTTTCTCCTTTCCTCTACAAGTTTATTCCCAGCCATACATGACCCCGTGTGGATTTCTTCTAAAACAAAACTGTTAGCCACAAAATCCCATCATTTCTTCTGTTCTTATTCACATAAAAGGTCTTGGAAGTCTGTTTTAGTTAATGTTGGAACAGGCTAGCTGCCTTTGACTGACTTCACCTTCAAGCCAATGGTACCCAGAAAGGGCTTTATCAAGGTCACTAAGCCCTCTGTGTGCCTAGAGCCAACAACCCTTCTTGTTCTCACTGGGCCAGACTCACCCTGCAGGCCTTGACCTAGGCAGCTGATCATTCCCCTTTCATCACTGCTCTCTTGCTTTTGTCCTGCTCCACAGAAGGACTAGATCTGTGTTCTCCAGACCCCTAGAGTTGGAGTATCCTAGGATCAGTCCTGTTAGCCTGCTTTTCCTCTTCCAAATCTGAATCCTGGGCTGGAAAGATAACTCAGCTGGTTAACGGCATTTCCTGTTGCTCCTCCTGAGTCAGGTGGGCATCTGAACGCATGTGGCACACATACATATAAATAAAAATGAAACATCTTTTAAAATAATCTGAATTTTATGGGGCTGGAGAGATAGCAAGGTGGTTAAAAGCACTGACTGTTCTTGCAAAAGATCTAGGTTTGAATCCCAGCACCCACATGGCAGCTAACAACTGTCCATAACACCAGATCCAGGGGATCCGATATCCTCTTCTGTCCTCCACAGGCACTGCACAACATAGGTGCACCCTACATACATGCAGGTATAGCACTCATACGCATACAATAAAAATAAATAAATTAAAATCTAAACTCCTGTCCCATCTAAAAATTCCTGTCCCATCTAAAATTCTATAACTTGAGCTGCCAACACGGTAATGTTCCCTAGCTTCTTAGTGGGAACTCTACATTTAGGATAAAATCCTTTCTGTGGATTTAACCACACTCAGGGCCCCTATTGTAAATGGAATGCCCCTTGCCGAAGAGTTCCAGTCCAAAACCTTGTGTCAACTTTTATTTACACTTTCTTTCTTACACATCAAAACTCCCACACACTGGATTAATGTGTTTTGAGCCTATTTCTTTCCACCCCGACCATTACCTTAGACCAGGCTACCGGGACCAGCTACACAATTAGACCACTGCCTCAGAACCCCTCCCCCTTTAGCCTCAAATGTTCTTTTTACCACAAACCAACTGCCGGTTTAGGTTCATCATTACCACCATTGATGCTGTTCCTTTTTTTTTGATTTTTATATATTTACTGTCTATTCCCAGAAGAGAATGGGTGTGCCCCAAGAGTAGTCTCTCAAACCCAGGTTCATGGGAGTGAGCCAGGCCCTTGTAGAGGGCCCTGACTCAAATTAGAAATACCACACACAACTGTAAAAATATGTTTTAAAAAAAAGCAAAAAACCCAAACCAATACAAAAAGACTGAAAGCCAACACTTTCTCTTGTCCTGCTAAAGGAGTTGGAAATAAGGGCCACCTAGAGGCAGCAGGGAACATACTTGTTCCTAAGACTCAGGAGTGCTCAAGGTCAAGCTCAGCACTCTCTGATGTTTTTTTTGAGGGCACAGAGTCATCCTTGTATCAAATGCTTCTGAAAAAATAGGAAAGTTACTTCAGGGGAAGGTTTAAAAATGTGGGCCCTCAATGACTTTTTCTTCCATGTGCTTCAGTTTCCCCATCTGCAAAAGTGAAGTAAGTACTTACCCCAAGGAATTAGGAAAGGATTGTAAATAACACACATGACAGGCTCTGATAGTGCCCAGCTCTTCTTTCTTGTCAGAGAAACTAAGGCTGGTGACTCCTTGCAGTCTTTTACCATCTCTTGGCCACTCCAGACTTAGAGATCATTCCCAAGTTTATCTAGCTCACTGTGTTATGGCAGAAGGGCCCAGTCTCCATGCAGAGGGTCAGAGCCACAGGATGTCTACCTGTGAATTCTCCTCCTGTCCTAAAAATCTGCACCCTTCTAACTCACCATGTCCTGAAAAGCAGCAAATAGCACTACCTGTTTCATCAAAACTGAGCCAAATCTCTTTGACCTTGCAGTGAAATCTACTGCTGCCAAAGGGTTCCTCTGAAATGCTCTGCCAATGGGAGAAATGGTGGGGGTCACTGTAGACAAACTGATTTTTTTTCTCTCTAGTTAAATCTATTCAGGCCTAAGTTGAGAGTTCTTGTGTAGATGTGATCATCATGGAATCCAGTTTCATGTTCTCTAAGAGAATGTAATTAAGAAATCAGTTTGGCTGGAAAAGAAACTGTCCCAAGACTTTTCCAACAGAAGCAGTTAGTATAGTACTAATAGCTAGAAAAATAATTTTCAAGAGGATGGAAAATACACTGAAAGTGGCAATCCTTTAGGACACATAAAATCAAACTATAATTTAATGTATCATTATGTCAGACTGATTTTGATTCCAGCTGAATTCCCACGGAGACTAGCTTGTTCATAGGAACAAATTGGAATTGTTTTAAAAACCAATCAAGGAGTCATTATACAGCAACTCTGAAATTCCAAGTTGTTCCTGATTTATCCATGTCCTACATTCCTGGTTAATGCAGCAGAGACCCAGTTGTCGGCAATGTGCAGGACGGATGAATCGGATGCTAAAGTGTAAGAAATCTTTAAGAATTTGATATTTTTAATTGTTACAACACAGATCCAAAAGGCAAAAAACAACAAAAACTTACATTATCTTCTTTCTTCTCCAAATCACTGAAATTTCTGTTGAGACAAAACAAACAAAAGCAAAATATCTGAAACCCCAAAACTTAAACTCCCTACCCAACTGGGATTTTCAATGAGGTGTGAGGGGAACTCAATACACTGCCATTAACACAGGGTTGGAGGACGGTCCCAGAGAGGAGAAATAACATTACACATATAACAGAGGCATGTTTGAAACCTTTTATTAAACAGGCAATGCACTGTGCAATGGTTCAGGACACAGATGCCTAGTGGAAAAGTTGAAAAATTAGTTTTTGGAAACAGTCTATGAATTGACAAACCCTGCCACGATCCTTCCTCTCCTCAGAGCAGCTATCTTCAGATCATCTGAGTGTTTAGTAGCTGTTCTCGGAAACCACGCCCTTGTTTTTACTATCAATGTCATGCCTAGAAGTAAACACAGAGAAGACAAGGTCCACAGCAAGACAGTGGCCAGAGACACAGGCTGATGGCGAGTGACAGTGCAGATCCCAGGGCTCCTGGGAGGCTCCTTGGAGGCTCTTGCAGGGCATCTGACATACACAGCCCCTTTTCATTTCCATTCTGGGCCCTGTCTAGGGCCTCTTTGCCAAAGGGATTTGAAAAGGCTCACATTCGCACTACAGCACAGAAACTCGTTCCTGGACTTTTTCGGTGTTGTTTTTGCTGGGGCCCCTCTGGTCCAGGATTGCTGCTGTTTGTCTTTGTTTTGCCTGGTTCATTTCTCTTCCTGGAGCTCATCATAACTTGATGATAAAATCAATCTTAAGTTTCACAGTCTGTTTGCCATGATTTATTGGCAGTTTTAAACTAAGTGGCCTGTCAACACAGTGGCCATTCTTCATCAGCAAGCTGCCAATCTATTTTATGATTTGGGGCATGTCGCTCCAAGCTTGAGATTTCTTTCTGGCAAGTTCCATCCAGGATGGCTGATCTGTACTGGTGTAACTGGCTCTCTTCAGCTGATGCAACTCCTTCTCTGTCATCCCTGCAGCCTGAGCTGCTGGAAAGGAGACAAAACGAATGAAAACATGAGACATTAGTATGGATTTTCACTTAAGCCTCTTGCATGTTTTCAAATATGTTACAGTCTGTGTTCCAGAACATACAATTCATTGATATGTAAATGCGTAAAGCAGGCCGGAGCTTAGAATATGGAATTTACATGATTAAAAAAGCGCAAGAGCAGGCTTAGACAGTGTTGGGAGAGTGATGAGACGAGGAGTGTTCAGGGTTCAATGTGTAGAGGTAGGCTGCACATGGGAATGAACCCAGTACCTTCATAACCATCCACCTGAAGATGATTAGGAAAGCAAATTTCTTGCGTGTCTTTAACCACAATGCAAAATAAATAAAATTTAAGAAATACTGGAGCCAGGGGTGTAGTTTAGTGGGAGAGTATGTACTTAATAAGTAAGAGTCCCTGGATTCAAGCCCCAGCATCATTAAAATAACTGATGCATCCAACCATAGTGATCTCAGAATAATTATGTTCAAAGACAGTAAACAGAAAGGGAGGCATATTTTATGATTTCGTATTTGGGAAAGTCAGTTCTTACAGACACATGAGGTAGGCTGGTGTTTACCCAGAACTAGAGAAGGGAGCATGGCAAATGGTATGAATTTCTTTATAGTGTGAGGGAAATGCTCTGTTCTTAGATTGCTACAATGGGGGCACACCTCTGCAAATACATTTATAATCTCACTATAAAGATACACCCACTGAACTGTACATTCAAAATGGGTGTGCTTTATGGTATGTAAATTTGTTTCAATAAAAGCTGCATTAAAAAAAAACCTTAAATATGGAGAATGACTCAACAAAACAAACTCAGACCACAAGAAAAGTCCACGACAGTGATAGCAAAGTGTGTGGAGATACATGCCAAACCTCATACCCAAGTTCTGATGGGACAGTGAGATTCCTCTCTGCAGCCCTTCCTTGAGGCTGAGCTTTGACCCCTGCCTCTGAGTCACAGCAGGCTTAGCAGGGGTCATCAGGAAAGACTTGCTGCGGACAAAGTCAGCCTGCTTCAAGGGCTCCTATGGAGATATAAGTAAGACACACACTGTCCAGCCATGCAGACACAGAGGGGCAAACGCCCAAAGTGAAAGCCACAAGGCATCTTTCCCAGGATGAACAGTGCCACTGGCACTTTCTGGGGAGGACTCTGCGTGTCGGCTCACTAATGTCCCCCATCAAAATGTCAGAACTCAAACTAGTGCCCGGCCCGACCCAGCCCACATGGGCATGATGGCTTCTTCCCTGTTCTTATAATACAGCCTCAGCCCCAGGGGGTGGAGGGCAAGGATTCCATGAGAAAGTCAAAACAAATTTGGGTTGGAAATAGTTTTGTGGCTTTGTGAAACATGGAAACATGGAAACATGGAAACAGGCTAGCATTTCTTCTTCTTCTTTTTTTTTTAAATCTTTTTGAGACAGGGTCTCCCTGTAGTCCCAGCTGTCCTAGAACTCACTATGTAGACCAGGCTGGCCTTGAACTCACAGAGATCCACCTGCCTCTGCCTCCCAAGTGCTAGGATTAAAGGTGTGCGCCACCACACCAGGCTTAGCATTTCTTCTTTATTTTCCCCTAGTCTGCACTGCATATAGGTCTTCAGCTCTGAGTATAATCGAGGTTTGGTTTAGCAGAAGGAAAGCAGGTCCTGCCACAGGTGCAGGCTCCCTTTCCCACATGGCAGAAATGCACTTATCACAGTGGCCAGTGGAAGAATATAAAAGCAGAATACAAAAGAATACAAAAATCTCAGCCTGCTTCTAAGCACAGTTGTTTGTGTTGGGGAAAGCTGTTTTCAGTTGAATGCAAAATGGAACTTCAGATTTTGGACATGAGGCACCAGGTGAGAAATAAGGGGACCAGCAGCCAGCTGGGATAGCAGCAAGAGCCGGGGCTCGTTTATCATTGCACAAAGAGCTGAGATGGAGCTGCTGACATTGTCACCATGTATCTAAAGGAGATGTTTAAACTGCCTTCAATTTTTCCAGAGGCTGAGCTGCGTTACCTAGGAGGCCAGAGCAGAGCTCTGTCTCTCTGCCTTCCTAACAGCCCTGCACAGGCAAAGAGCTGGCAGACTGCTCCTCCATGGGGGCTAGAATCTAACACTTGGACTTTGACTCACTGGTCCTCAATGGCATGTCAGCAGTTACCAGAGGTATGGCCATTGTGACGTTCAAGTAGGACCTCTGTGATCCCAGCCCCAGCCCCAGCCCCAGTTCTCTCCTGAACCCACAGAAACAGTTTACTCTTCCCACTTGTGCTCTCTCAGGCACCTTGGCTTGCTTTCCAGCTTCCGTCTTCAGAATCCGTGACCCAGGCTTGTCTTCCTGGTTGGGAGGCTGGTCTGGGGTCCCTCGCCGCTTCTGCCGGGCCATGGTGATCCAGGGTGGTGTGGGCTGCCCATCGGCCCCAGGACTCTCTGTAGCAGGAGGCTGACCCTTTTCTGCAGTAAAGGCACAAAGTTAGGCAAGAGAGTCCTAGTCTTCCTCTTCAGTCTCACCCACAGGGGGGTGTATTTCTTTGGCTTAGGGGACAGGGGTGGTAGGGTAAGGTGGGGGTTGAGGATTGGAGTTTGGGAGACTCTCTGATGAGACTGTTTCCTTTTTTTAGCCAACTTTAGTTATTCTAAAGATGCACCAAAGAGATTATCTCTAGTCTGAGGCACACAGACAAAAATTAAATACAACTGCTCAACACCCATTTTAAAGCCAGTTTTTACCAAGGGAATTCTTTCTAAGAGGAGATAAAAATACATGCACAGATAAGATTTTTTTAAATAGAATCTTTTCATTTGGGACCAGTTCACAATCTCCCATTCCCAATTTACTCAATATGGTAAACACACCAGTGTCCTAACAATGGTAAGCATAAGCTTCTCTTTGTGGGATAAGACACCCATTTATAAAACCATCTCGTGTTTTATTCCTTATCTAGAGACCTGTCACCGTTTAACACGGAAAGTGCTGGGTGGCTACATGTTCGACACAGACTGCATTTCTCTGTTGCTCCGCAGAGTCCTCACAGCCTGTCTCTCTGGGATTTTACTTTTCTCTTAGCCTTCTCTGCTCTCCTCCCACCATTTCTTTGCCCTTGGTGACCAGTGGTGCACTCTCTCTGCACACCTCATGTGTGCTGGTCAGGAGTGGCTGCCTATGCATATTGGAGATAGATGAGAATTTTGCTCTGAATTTGTACTTACTCGCTCAGTTAACAACATAGTCTGGAAAATTCTGGTAAGACTAAATGCACAGCAAGAGAAACTTGCCAATCCCAGTATAAAATCAGAGGCCTAGCAGTGTCCTATTGAGGGTCAGGGTAAACCCAGCAGGTCTGGTGTACTTGTGGTCCCCCACCTCCTCACTGCTCAGTGTTAGGTGCCTCTTACTCCAGTCACCTCTTAGCCCAAGGCTATAAGACATAGTTCTAGTAAATTCCTTATGCCGTACATTCGATCATTCCATTTGGGCTAAAAGAAGCATTTTAAGCATGAGCAGAAAGGTTATATAGAGAGGAGGCCATGAACCGACGATGGGGCCCGGGGTCTGGATCGAGGATGGGGCCCTGGGGACCAGGCCCAAGAGAGGACACCTCAGAATGACTACAGTAACTCAAATTCTTTCTTCCCATATTCTTTATGGGAACTTCAGGCTTACACATAATGCCACTACATTAAGCTCGGCAAGAAGTAATTTTTCCATTCCTTGTACCCAGAGAATGCTGGTAACATTCCATTCCAAACACAGAGGGACCACCTGCTGAGCTGCTTGTGTGTGTGGGGGGCGCAGTTTCCAACTGTACTCGTGCATATGTGTGTGTGTGTGTGTGTGTGTGTGTGTGTGTGTGTGCGTGTGTGTGTGTTTCCATGTGCCTACATTCACATGCAGACCCACAGGTGAACCCTGAAGCTGCACCAGGCAGTGCCACTGTGTGACAGGTAACCCACAGTGACAGCACCACTAAGCACTGAGTCGGGCTCATAGCCAGGGTCTCTCACTGGTCATTTCTTTCCTTTTTGGTTCCTGTCTTTTTTCCCAACCTGTACATTTCATACAATATCAAAACTCAGAGGACTTTTACTCCTATCTAGGGTGGGTAGGGACAGAACTGGGTGACAAGCCATTCTGCTCTGTGACACAGGCCTAGGCAGACTCTGTGATCTGTACCTCCACCTCCTGTACTTGACATTCACACTGGAGACAGGGCTCTGGGTCTCTGCTATACCTGGCCTGGGGAGGGCTACAGAAGGGAATAAAGGCACAGGCAAGGCATAAGGTGGCCTTCATGGGACAAAGCTTGTAACACGACAGCCATAAAGCATGAACATTTAGGGTCAAGGCTGCACCATAAAATTGCTTCAGAGATTAAACATGCACAAAAGGTCACTAATCCCAGGATAATGTAGATGTGGCATTACTTCAAATCAAGTCAGAGGGAAACACTCCTTTGTTTGTCTTCCTGCTTCAATATACAGATCTTAATCTTCTGGAGATTTGACTAAAGGCCTCTGACATCTCACTTTCTCCTCCCTGAATGGCTTGGGGCTTAAGTTGTCAAGTATGCCTGGGTTTGCAGCCAACAGGACCAGTAACCCCATGTCTGAATCTGTGCGATGCCTTTGCTGAAGGTCTGGGAGAGGCTGACTCCCCACACACAGCTTCCAGGCAAGGGCAAGGAAGGGCACAGTCTAATTTAGAACAAACATGGACTGATACTTTCAGATGGCGAATGCTGCAGGTACAAGAAACTGGGGAGCCACACCGCTCACCTCAAACAACCCAACTGCAAAGAAAACAACTTCTGAGCTAAGAAAAATCATTACCTTATTTAAGGATAGGATTCTATCAAAGAAGCAGGTGGTGAATTGTTCTTCTCCAAATTCTCTTAACATACTCCCCTACCTCAGGATTTATTAGGGAAAGTATAATGTGTAGATTATAATTTCCGGGCCTGTCCTCAGGGCTGGGGTGAGTGGGCTGTGTGAATGATGAAGGCTTTCTCCCTGGGCCAGGACCACAGAGCAGCTAGCTAATGATTATCCTTGGGGCTCCTAAGAGTGAGTTTAGGGTCTCAGGTTAGCAATGTGCTCCTGGGAAGATTCAAGAACACTTTTGAGACTCAATTCAGCATAAAAGAGGAAAACAGCAGAATCCATACCTCCCAAAAAGAGAGTAAAGACTCTAAGAGACAACCTGCTACAACTCCCAGATGGTTGTGAAGATTCAATGAACAAATCCTCCCAAAGCCCAGCACTGTGCCTGGCACCCACATGCCTTCCTTCTTTCCCATGTGGACTGAAGAGCATTGGCTGAGGCCACAGCTGCTACTGCTGTTTTGTTACTGCTGGTAAATAAATAAATAAATAGGAATACATCCTTTTTACCTGAATGATTTCTGTTTCCTAATATCTTTTTGAAATACAGGGAAACCAAGATGGCAGGTTTATGGCCCTAAGTACCCAATAACATTGCCACTGAGCTATCTGTATTTATATGACCCCAAATAAGCCACTCCCCAAAACCTTAACACCGAACCCCTCTTGGGATGTTCAACTCAAAGGGTGAAACTCAAAGGTAGGCCACATCCCATGAGAGATCCAGGACATAGCTGAGCCCGGGATCTCAGAGCTGTCAAGAATACCATCTTCTGGGTGGGAACCAGTGAACTGGAGAATGAGAACTCCAATGGCTCCCTGTTCTTCGACTGAGAAAATAAAGCAGATGCTCTGTCCTGGGATGGCAGGATTTTTTTCCACTTCTTCAAAACTTGGTATATATTGTCCTTCTTGATATAGCGATTTGTATATAAGATATATGTGTATGTATATTTGTGTGTACATGTTCATATGTGTGCACATGTACCTGTGGATGCACTCTTGGGGGTCAGAGGTCAACATCTGGTGTCTTCTTCAATCACTCTCCACTTTATTTTTGGAGCTGACCTATTTGACTAGGCTGACTGGCCAGTGAGCTCCAGTGGTCTGTGTCTTACCTCCCTAGTCCTAGGATTACAGATATGTCATCATCAAGATTGGCTTTCATTATTGGGGGCTGGGAATCCTCATGCCTGTGTGTCAAGCATTTTACTGATTAAGCCATCCCTCCAGCCTCTGAAATAGCTTTTTGTTTGGTTTTGTATTTTGAGACAGAGTTTCCCTGTAGCCCCAGTTGATCTGGAACTTGCTATGTAGACTAGGCTGGCCTCCATCTCACTGCCTGTCTCTGCCTCCCTAGTGCTGGGATTAAAGGGGTGTGCCACTACACCCAACAGATGGGCCGGGTGTGGTGGCGCACACCTTTAATCCTAGCACTTGGGAGGCAGAGGCAGGTGTATCTTTGTGAGTTCGAGGACAGCCTGGTCTACATAGTGAGTTTCAGGATAGCTGGGGCTACAAGGAGACCCTGTCTCAATAAAGATAAAATATATATATATTATTTATTATTTTTATTTTTTATGTGTATGAGTGTTGAACCCTTGAACCATCATCTTAAAAATGCATATCTGGGGGCTGGGGAGATGGCTTAGTGGTTAAGAGCACTGGTTGTTCTTGCAGAGGATCTGAGTTTGATTCCCAGCACTCACATGATGGCTAACAAATGTTCATAACTCCAGCTCCAGAGGATCTGACACCCTCTTCTGGTTTTTATGGGTATTGCATGACGGGGTCATGTATATGAAGGTCTGAAGTGGACATCAGGCAATACACTCATACACATAAATAAAATACATGCAGGCAATATACTCATACACATAAAATTAAAATAATAAAAGTATTTTTCAAAATAGCTGCTTTAACCAGGCATGGTGGCACATGTCTTTTGTCCCAGAACTTGGGAGGCAGAAGCAGGTGGATCTCTGAGATCAAGACCAGCCAATCTATATAGCAAGTTCCAGGTCAGCTGCAGGCTACAGGAAGACCCTGTCTCAAAAACAAAACAAAACACACATTCATAGTTCATTCCCAGATTTTAAAACATTCCCCAGGGAAGAAGAAACCTGAGTTTGCTCAATAAAGACCTAAAGTGGACACACCATTAACCATATCTCCTAAGTGGTTGAAGCCAGAACAGAGGACTTTGGCTCCATACTTCAATAAACAGAGCTCAGCCCATTCTGCTTGCTTTCTAGATCCTTAGCTATAGTCTTGCTTTACATGATGGACATGGAAGTGCAGACAGATGCTAAGAGATGCCTCTCTGGGGCAGAAACGGATTCTGTGTCTGTGGAACACACAGGGCCTCATTCATGCTTCAGGGTTTATATTAGGCTTCTTGTGTGAAGGATTCCAGCTCTCTTCTTAAAGTTCATTGATCTGTTGTCTGTCCTGGCTTACAGACAGCTGCAGTCAACAGACACCAGCGGCCTTCAGTGGCTCTCCATTAGTTCTGTCCAGAAGCCAGGCCAGGCAACCTTATAAAAGAACTTAAGCTTGCAGTCCTTGCTGGA